AGAGAGAGAGAGAGAGAGAGAGAGAGAGAGAGAGAGAGAGAGAGAGAGAGAGAGAGAGAGAGAGAGAGTGCAGGAACTGGGCCACTCGCTGATGCATGGCTATTCTCCCTCCCTCTTCCGACTCCGCCGCGGGCGAAGCCGCGCGGGGTGCCCTTGTATTTATTTATTTATTTATTTACTTACCTGCTGAACCGTCGTGGTCTGTGCAGGTGTCGTTTCGGACTTGCTGTCCCCAAGGCACGACCTTGGGACTGGGTACCTGAGGCAGGGCCTACAAAAGGCCAGGCGCATGTTTTTGGCGCCCTGCTGCATCAGCAGCACAGTCTGGACGTCCGGTAGGGACCCAGACCGGCTGGGCCGTTTTGAGGCCAGCACCAGGTAGGTCCAGCCTCGCCCTGTGCTACATATAGCTGGGCAGAGTCTGGGCAACGGACAGTTCGAGTAGCTCACTTTTGAGCGACACGCTGCTGGTTGGAAGCTGCACTATCTAGCGCTGCGCTGCAAGGCTGGACGGAGCGACACAGGAGGTAGTGGGAGGCGGAGGCCATACCTGCAGTGGCGAGCTTACCTGGCGCCATAGCTGGGGTCTCCATGCGGTACCTGCACAAGACGAGCACGGTAGTCAGTACGGCGGCCGTTACCTGCAGGTGAGGCAGACAGAAGGGCGACATCTTCTTCTCCCTTCTCGCCCTCCATCTCTCCTCCTTCTTCCTCCTTCCTCCTCCTTTCTTCTTCGTCGTCATCATCTTCTTCTTATTCAGATCCGAGAGAGAGAGAGAGATTACAGTCCGAGGTTACAGGCAGAGGATACAGGCAGAGGTTACAGTGTGCATTATGCCCAGGATCTGATTTGACATTGTTGAGGCAGACATTGATTGGACATCGGCAAGGGACTATTTTTGGACTCCGCTATTGCGTTCTTGGTCTTCTCCCTCGCCTCCATCTTCGTCTCCCTCTCCTCTCCCCCATCTTTCATCTGTGGTATCTCCCTAGTGCGTGTACAAGGAGGGCCCTTTCTTCTTCGTGTGCGGTCCCTCCTCTCCCTCTCACATGTGTGATGTTTGATGGGATGTCGTGTCAGTCCCGGTCAGGTCAGGACTTATCTTCAAATCTCCGCTGCGCTACTTTTGTGCCATTTCGTATGTATCAGAATGTACATTGCCTGTTGATGTTGCACTAACATTGCATTGCCCATTCAGTCCTTCACATCACATTGCGTATCCTTGGCTCTACATACATTGCCCAACTGGGCACGTACACACACACACACACACACACACACACAGAGAGAGAGAGAGAGAGAGAGAGAGAGAGAGAGAGAGAGAGAGAGAGAGAGAGAGAGA